GTAGGCTTTAGAAAGTATAGGTAATACAGGGGATGAATCACTGGAATCTACTCCTGAAATCATTATTGCACTATATGCTAACTAACTTGGATGTAAATTAAAAATTAAAAACAAAAAGTGTAGGTAATAGGTCACTCTTGCTAAATTTTGTAACTTTTTAACTTTGTATTCTGTGGGTTTGTCTTAGTGTAATGTAGTTTTTGTGAAATTTTCAGCTCTGTAAAACCAGTGTAAATATTCTACCTGGTCGAGCAATTCTATTAAGGTTTATTGTGCTAAAAATTAAATTGCAGTTGATCTTTGGCAGACATGGTTGATCACCTTTACAAAGTAAACGTATCTTTTGGAACCCACACTTTCTAGGTTTCTTGTTGATGAACTCAGGCGAGGCAAGAAACTTTGGGAGGTGTCAGGTGAATACTTACGTATTTTGGACTATGTACCATCTATATGATATACATAAATACCCATCTCCCTTAGTCCAGACAAAAGCTATGTGAGGCTGGAAATACTGTCCCAGTTTTACAGCTGAGCAGGTGGTGAAGACTAGGTTTGAATCCCAAGTGTGTGTAGATGACTCCAGAATGCTTCCTCTTTTATTGTCCTGACTCACTTGTTGAGTGGTTTGTCTGTAGATTAATGGTTTTCAGATGGTGCTGTAAGGCTCTGTACAGATCCTTGGAAGTTTGGGAAAAAATGGATTTTTTTTTTTTTTTTTTTCTTGAGGAATCAGTCCTTCCCTTTGACTTGTTTTTTATATTTGGGTTTGGAAAGAGTTGCTCTGCCTAAAACATTTGAAGCTTCCTTCCCTAGAAACCTGAGACCTATCTAGAATGAATATGTATCAGAAAATAAAAATGTAAGTAATAGTAATTTATATTTGTTAGCAAACAGACTGTATCTATTTTCAGTGATCTTTCTATTCCTAATGATGTTTTGTGTAGCTTAATGTTAAAATAAGTTTGAAGTGATCGAATGTACTATTAATAGGGTGGGGAAGTGATTAGAATTAAAATTTGATGTGGAAAGTGGGTAAGCTACAATTTACTGTACAGGGTTCTCTTCCCACTACCAGCTCCTGCCGTGTTTAAAGGCTGCCCTATAAGCATGATGTAATGACAGGTTAAACCCCTGAGCGTACTACCTGACGCAGTGCAAATCTGAGGCCCAGGACTTTATTGGGGCACGGGTAATGCTTCTTTAAAAACAAAACAAGCTTCTCTGTTTAATGAGGCCATTTAAGATGCTTTTCCCAGAGTGGGAAGAGAATATAATCTCCGTTTGGAGGTTGAAGAAGGAATTTAATATGGTTATGTGTGTTTACTACTCTCACTGTAGTTTTTTCAAAGGGAGAGAGGGTGTTTTAAAGTATGGTGCCAACAGGGGTAGAAGTGAAGTGAGTTAGAAATTAAGGAAATATGGTAGTTGACATCTGGTAAATAGTTACTGAATGAAGAGAGGAGAGTGCTTTCATTCTATAAACACTTAAGTGTTCACGGTTAACCAGCCACCGTGGTGGCCATATATTTCCCAAATACTCTCTGTAGGTCTTAGTTTGAAATCATACCAAATCGTTAGTATCTGTTTTGTTCTACAAAAAGGCATGTTTCCGCCTAAATGTAAGCTGGTGGAAATATGCTGAGGTGTGCACATTGTCTTTGGGGGTCCAGGGCTGGGTCTGAGTTGCACAGCGCAGTGCCCTAGAGCAGTCCCGGAGAAGTCCTGAGCTGGGAGGGCGGAGCTTGTGGGCGTACCCACCGCGTCCGCCCCGCCCCAACAGCCCCGCCCCACGCTTGCTGCGGCTGGGCGCTGCGAGCCTGAGGCCCGTTGGCACTGTGGACTGGAGCAGGCTTTCCCAGCAGTGGGCAGGCCCCCAGCCCCGGGCTCCGCGTGGATCTCCCCGCGGGCCAGACCCTGCAGTGACTCCAGAGCTGGCTCCAAGAGCACGCTTGCTCCAGCCTCCTCGCATCCTAAGGCCCTGTCCTTAACCGGAGCTGGTTAGCTAATGAATCAGGGGAAGACAAACTTCCAGGACCGACAGTTTAGGGCCCAGTAGAAGACGGCTCGGTGATGGCGCCCATTTTTGGAAACACAGGCGAATTTGAGCTCGCATTGGAGGTGTGGTCGATTCCTGTTGGGACGGGAGAGGCTTCATTTCTCGGCTGCTGCGGTAGCCTGTGCTTCTGAAGAGTGAATGGAGTGTTACAGAGCAGGGCACTTACCTTCGCTTGTTGAAAACTTGCCATCGGACATGGTTAGGAACAGAAGGTGTCCAGGAGGAGCCTCTGTTACAAATCGTATTTGCTTCTGGGGGAAAGGCTGTGAGCTGCCTGGCTTCTCATGACCGGGAAGCCTACCTCACCTTTTCTGTACTCCTGGAGAGGCATCTTGCTCACATGTTTACCTGCAGCTGGGACAAGGAAAAGAAAAGGTATTGACATTAAGAGACTGACTGGGTTTGCTTAAACTATGAAATGGGAAAGTTGTTGTAAGCCAGTGGAATCTGGATCAGGGAGTGGCTGCAGCATAATTGAGCTGGAGTTTGCAGTGATGTTTCTTTTGATCTGCTGTACTTTTCTCTGTTTAAACCAAGCTTCAGGTTACGTCATCACTCCTGCAGGGTTGTCCAAAGTCCCTTTAGTCCTTGATTCCAACTGCAGGGCTGCTGTAGGGTCAGGATTCTTTTTGTTGGAATTGGGTTCTACCTTTGGAGTTTGGGGAGGTTTTAGCAGCTGCTGTCCTGTGATATCTCCATTCACGAGAAATACTGGCCTCACTTCACTTGTTTTCATGCTTTAGATATGGATTTAAATCCAGCTTTCTATGGTGTTTGGGAGAATAATAAAGATACATTGTAACATAAGCCTGAATGATTGATGGTCAGTGTATAGCTATTTTGCTAGGTCAAGAAATAAAGCAAATATTTTTCTTGCTTATATTTTCCTAGTTGTATTAATGTTGAATACAAATTGAGTTTATAGTCCCTTGATGTAATTAGCTGTTTTGGTTTAGGGATTTGAAAAGGCATTGGTAGATTAGACTGTTTTGTGCTCAGGGAACCACTTTCCAATTTTAATGTTGCTCACTTAAGTGAGCAGTATAAAATAGGCCATGAAAACAAGCATACAGCATATATAGGGGGTGTTTTGGCAATGCTAAGCCCATTGTTTCACAAGTGATGGAAAATGCACACAGATCATCATATGCACAAAGAATCTTACACCTGGGTTATACAGTGCTTCAGATGAGAACTGATTTCTGTTGTCCCTAAGTGCATGTGATAAGACACATTATGATGGAATTCTGCAGTTTTATAAACTCTTGAATTTCAGAATATTAACTTTAGTGACTGTGGGATTAATTTTTTTTTTTTTTTTTTTTTTTTTTTTTTTTTTTTTTTTTTTTTTTTTTTTGCCACTCTGAGCCCTCCATTGAGGTGTCTATCCTTGAGTAATCTGGAACCCCAATTGCATTTATATGGTCACATTAGTAACTAGCATTGGTTTTTCAAAGTTTAATTCTTTGCAACAGAATAATGATTATAATTGGGAAAACATTAAATTTCAGACAGTCAGTTTTCATTTTGTAGAAGTAAGGCTTATACAGTTACTAGGAATATACTCTTGGGACATCAGTAGACATCTTTTGTTACCCCTGAGATAAATAAGATCTGGTATCCCAGCAAAGGTAGATTCATGGGAAAGGTATTTGCTTTATCTTTCATTTAGTCTGACAAGTTAGTTATATTGTTGTCATTTCTTCAAGATGACATTTATCTCTTTTTAAAAAAATTTTTTTAATGTTTATTTTTGAGTGACAGAGAGAGAGACAGAGAACTAGCAAAGGAAGGGCAAAGAGAGAGAGAGAGAGAGAGAGAGAGAGAGAGACAGAATCCAAAGCAGGCTCCAGGCTCTGGGCTGTCAGCACAGAGCCCAATGCAGGACTCGAACCCACAAACCATGAGATCATGGCCTGAGCCGAAGTTGGAAGCTCAACCGACTGAGCAACCCAGGCTCCCCGACGTTTATGTCTTGAATAATTACTGCTGTGCTGATAAATGCTTCCACAACACTGGTAGGGTACAAGGAATTCTTAATCTCTTGACTATACTGTCCCCAATGTTGTGTCTCTCTCTGGTGCTTTTATCTTTATTTACCTTCTTTTTCTTTTTTGACTCTTCTTCCCCTTTGCATACTATATCTGATTTATATTGGGGAATGGAATTAGACTGGAAAGATGTACTTTCTCTAAGTACCAGACTTAGAACTTTTGAAGATGGCCCTCCATTTCTCTTCTCTTCCCCCCACTTTTTGAGGTGTGGGGCACTGATCAGTGGGAAACAAGGTTAATACCTAGCTGATGTTAACGTTCTAGGGGAAGACTTACTAGAGGAAGATGGATGATGGGATGGCAGCAGACCCCCTCCATTCCCCAAATCCATGTCTAAAGCAGGTAACTGTTTACCATTAGGCGGTGTTAACCAAAGCTAGTGCCCTGGTGACCCTTTGGATCACTTGTAGCTCCCTGTAGCTGCTGGTGGCTGACTCAGAATGGGAAAGAAATAGACTGAGCAGGGGAATTGAACACAGAGACAGAGGGAGGAGAAAGTCCAGTCAAAACTGATCTGATTGGGCTTAAGCTACTTAAATGGTGTTTCTTAGTAGTTTATGGCCCAGTTTCTGTTTCAGCATTTATTCCATGTCGTCTAGTCCATCCAAGGAGATTTTTAATAGTTCTTAAAAAGGAATTCTGCATGTGTTCTGGAACATTTTGATAAAGAGCTTTGTCTGGTATACAACTCCTGATAATCAAAATGTGTAATTAGTGTAATTTACGGTTTTTAAATCCGGTGTCTGTGTTCCTTTTATCCGTTTGCTCACAGTACGTTTTGCATGAAACTTAAGTATTTCTGGCATGTAAACATTATTTATGAAACAAATGATAGTTGTAGTTATTTTTCTCCTGCCTCTTTTTATTTTTATTTATGGTTTTTGTTACAGAAATGAGCCGCCAGACTGCAACAGCATTACCCACTGGAACCTCAAAGTGTACGCCGTCCCAGAGGGTGCCTGCCCTGACTGGCACAACCGCATCCAATAATGACTTGGCGAGTCTTTTTGAGTGTCCGGTCTGCTTTGACTATGTGTTACCACCCATTCTTCAGTGTCAGAGTGGCCATCTTGTTTGTAGCAACTGTCGCCCAAAGCTCACATGTTGTCCAACCTGCCGGGGCCCGTTGGGATCCATTCGCAACTTGGCTATGGAGAAGGTGGCCAATTCCGTACTTTTCCCTTGTAAATATGCCTCTTCTGGATGTGAAATAACTCTGCCACACACAGAAAAAGCAGACCATGAAGAGCTCTGTGAGTTTAGGCCTTATTCGTGTCCGTGCCCCGGTGCTTCCTGTAAATGGCAAGGCTCTTTGGATGCTGTAATGCCCCATCTGATGCATCAGCATAAGTCCATTACAACCCTACAGGGAGAGGATATAGTTTTCCTTGCTACAGACATTAATCTTCCAGGTGCTGTTGACTGGGTGATGATGCAGTCCTGTTTTGGCTTTCACTTCATGTTAGTCCTGGAGAAACAGGAAAAGTACGACGGTCACCAGCAGTTCTTTGCAATTGTACAGCTGATAGGAACACGCAAGCAAGCTGAAAATTTTGCTTATCGACTTGAGCTAAATGGTCATAGGCGGCGATTGACTTGGGAAGCGACTCCACGATCTATTCATGAGGGAATTGCAACAGCCATTATGAATAGCGACTGCCTAGTCTTTGACACCAGCATTGCACAGCTTTTTGCAGAAAATGGCAATTTAGGCATCAATGTAACTATTTCCATGTGTTGAAATGGCAATCAAATGTTTTCTGGCCAGTGTTTAAAACCATTGCATTCAGTTTCACAGAGAATAAGGCACCCATCTGCCTGCCAACCTGAAACTTTTGGTAGGTGGAAGCTAGACACATGAAGGTAAATAAGAGGAAAGGCTGTTAAATACAGGAAACAGTTGCATGTAGTAACACTAATATATTTAAAAATAAGTCAACAGTAAACCACTGAAAAAAATATATATATACACCCAAGATGGGCATCTTTTGTATTAAGAAAGGAAGCATTGTAAAATAATTCTCAATTTGTGTTGTAGATTGAGTGTACTGTTGAAAAATACCGGGTTTTTGTTTGTGTGTGTGCCTGCAAGTTTGTGTGCGTGCGTGTGCGTGTGCGTGTGTGTGTGTGTGTTTTTCTTTAACCGACAAGCCATGTTGCGTGGTCTTGGGCCACTGCTTTTCCCTTTGTGAGTCAATACATAGTGCTGCTGTGTGTGTATATTTTTTTGTGTGTATTTGCTAATTTTTATTAATTCTAGTTTTTCATTAAATAAATTTGACTTTCTTTTCTGTAATTCAGGTTTTTCCTCACTTTATTTTGTACCTTTTTAAAGTTAGTGTCTTTTTGATATGCATAATTGTTTATGGTAAAATTTATACATGTGTGTTCAGTACGTATTTTCCTTTCCCTCATTAATCAGTTCATTAGAAATATTTTCAATTCAACTCTTTTGTGAAGATATGAATTCCAGAAAGGAAAGGTAACATCAGAATTATCAGGAGGTATTTAAAGCAGTTATAAGATGGTCTCTGTCTCTGTCTCTTTTTCTCCACTTGAGTCATATCTTTGAACTTATTCTTTAAAAGGTTAGGGAATACTGATTTTTTTTTTTTTTTTTAAATTCTGGAAAAAAAATCAGGCTTTTTTCTTCCAAATATCTTGGACAAATCACTTGTTTAAAATTTGTTCTTGTATTTATTGGTTTTGCAAAAGAAGGCATCGTCTTAGACAGTATTTGTAATCAAAAGCAAATCATTTGTTTAAAAAAAGGCAGTTTGCAAAAAATGTTTTTGGTCTTTTATAATTCTCATTAAAAGAATATCTGGCAAATTAAAAACTCTTAACGTGTCTGCTTTAGCTCTAAGTTTGATTAAAATCCAAATAGTTTTCCCATTCAATTCTGTACTTCATAACTGAAAACAGTGTGCTGCATTTTGAAGTGTGATAGAATTATTCTAAGCAAAAGAATAAGTATATGGCCTCCGTTACACAGTCTTGTTTTTCTTCCCTCTTGCTTACATTTGTATTCTCACAATTCTGTTAGGAGACTAATTGTAATTAGTTAAAATGCTGATCACTTTTTCCCCCTTAAGAAAAAGAAACACAATAAAGATGAGTTAGTATTTCATAGCAAAATGGTTATGAGCCTGGGCTCTACAGCTGACTTCCAAGGACCTACATGCCGTGCTAGTTCTACTGTACTTATCAGCCATGGGACCTTGGGCCCCAGTTTCCTAATGTGTATGATAGGGTTAATTATGGTAGCTACCCCAGAGGGCGAGATGTGATACCAGTAAGTTAACCTAGAACAGTGCTTTGCACACAATAAGTACCCAGCAAATGTTAGCTGCTGTTATTATGCCTTTAACCAGAACTGTATCTTTAACTTGCTAATTACCCTGAGGCACCTGACAGGATTCTGAAATTGCCTTCTGAATGGCCAAAGATCATTTTGTGTGGTTTTTACAGGTGCACTGAACTTAGAAAGTCAGTTAAAATTAATTTGGACTACCCCCTTCTCCCACCACCAATTCTGGATACCAGAGTTTACTTCTGGTAACCATTTCCAGGAAATGAGATTTGTGTAGTCTCTTCCCTGACATAAGCATTATTTTTTGAATTGGTTGTAACATCTGCTTGTATAGCCATTTTTGTGGTGAAAGGTCAACCACAAAGGTGTATCTTGGTCTATTCCTGTTAGCATGTTTTTAGAAAAGCAGTTTTCCCTCCTCATTTGATGTATTGAATACTTTGGTGGAAGTGTATCATTTTGTTTTTAAAATATTTTGAAGTGTTTCTCGGATTATGAAAGTAGTGTGTCCTCAGTGTAGGGTTTGGGGGTGAGAAAATGGCACATGCAAGAGAGAGATGTAGGCGTCCATTCAGAGATGACTGGGAACATTTTTATTTTTCTAGTCCTTTGTGTATTTACGTGTGTTTTGATCGTTTATAACCCCTTCATGCCCTCACACATAACACAGCCAATGCATAATTTTAGACACCATTTTGGGAAATGTTTGTGAGGATTAATTATAATTTTATCCAGTTTCCTGATGTTAGATACTGCTTTGTCCAATTTATCCATGTAAATCTTTTCTGGCTATTTATAAATAACCTGTGAACATTTCTATATGTTTCCTGATTCTATCCTTGGGATCCTTTTTTTAAAGATCTTGTTACTTTTTTTATCATCACTTTCTGGAGAGGTTTCAATGGACACAGAGTAGCAGTGTGTAGGATTTTCTCTTTCATTGTAACCTCATGTTTTGCTATTTTATGCAAATTAAGATAGTAAATTTTGTCTACTATAGTAAACAAAATGTAATTTGACAGCTATAAGGTTGACATCTTAATCTTAACTATATTTTAAGTCATCTTCATATTCTTGGTCTAGAGGGATGATGAGATCTATAGCCATTTCTTGGTCCACTTGAGATTTTAATCATCTTTGTTATAATCAGTGTTCTTTCTCCTATTAATGCCCTGCCCTGTCATTTGGTGTCTTGGTGTTTTCTTTCAGGGAATTGTATAGGGTGGGATAGGTGATCTTCTTAAACTTTGTTCTTTTGTGTTCATACATGTATTTTAAAAAAATTTTTTTTTTAATGTTTATTTATTTTTGAGACAGAGAGAGACAGAGCATGAACGGGGGAGGGTCAGAGAGAGAGGGAGACACAGTATCTGAAACAGGCTCCAGGCTCTGAGCGGTCAGCACAGAGCCCGATGCGGGGCTCGAACTCATGGAGTGTGAGATCGTGACCTGAGCCGAAGTCGGCCGCTTAACCGACTGAGCCACCCAGGCGCCCCCATACATGTATTTTTTAATGTTTACTTTTGGGAGAGACCGGGGGACAGAGGATCCCAAGTGGGCTCTGCACTGACACTGAGTCCAATGTGGGGCTCGAACTCCATGAACCTGACATCATGACCTGAGCTGAAGTCTGACACTCAACCTACTGAGCCACCCAGGTGCTCCTCTTTTGCGCTTACATTCTTAAACTTGAATTTGTTCTGTTGGGTTGAATCATGGGCCAGTTTTATATGTTGATTGTTGGAGAACAGTTTTTTGTTTTGCTGATTTTTATTATAATGATTAGTTTTTTAAGGCCCACATTTCTTTCTGCAAACTACATGTATGGGAGTGGCTATAGAAAAATCGTGTCCTCTTGCACTTAATTATGGGAAAGTTTACTTCATTTTAGTGGTTCCTAATTGGAAAATACGAAGTCAGCCTACTATACCCTCAGCACTTGATTACCCCACAACATGGATGGCATCTAGTCCAGTGAGCTCCTGGTGGCGTAGACATAACTAGGCACGGTGTCCAAAGATGGGTGTCTGAATCCTGTGCATTTCAAGCAGCCACTACCAGAGATGGCACTGGAAATGAAACCCATTTGCATCCCACTCTTACGAAGAGAATTTGTGCTATGAGCAGAAAGCAAGTCTTGACTGATGTCAAGGAAGAGAAGGAAAGAAGGAAATCTTTGTGTTTCACTCAGCACACACACATTTTTGCCCCCTCTCTTACACTAAAAAAATTCAGGTAGGTTTAGCAGCCTTTAAATACCACTCATATAACCAGGAGATCTTATTTGTGATCACAGATTTATAAACTGTTGTTAAATACTTTATGATCAGATGCCATTTTTCACTGTAATCTAAAGCACTAAAAACCTCTGCCCCTGATAATATGGTTAGTGGTCAGGTTCAAACAAAAGAGGCAGAATCAAGTAAAAAATGTGTATTCCTTAAGTAGACCATATAGAATTTCTTGATTACCAAGACACCTAAAGCTTTATTTAGTTTTCATACTCAAGAGTTTTAAAAGCTCATACGTAAAAGGCATGCAGAGTACTGGTTAAATACATCCCAAGGCCTCTCTAGCCCTACTGAATTAGAATTTCTGAGTTAGTCAACATTTTCAATAAAAATCCCCAGCTGGTTGTGATAAAAAGGGTGTTTAGATAACACTTTAAACATAATGCTAGGAAAAAAAAACATCATTAGTCATTAGGGAAATGCAAATCAAAACCAAGAGATGCTACCTCACACCATGGGGATGGCTATTCCCAAGGTGGAAAAGTGGTGGCCAGGAGTGGAGAGACTGGGATCTGTGTGTGTTGCTGGCAGGAACGGCAGATGGTGCAGCTACGGAGGAGAACAGTTTGGTGGCTCCTCACAGTTAAGCATGGACTCCTCCTAAGAACAGCAAGTCTACTACTGGGCATATACCCCAAAGAATTGGCCAGCAGGGGACATGGCTAGTCGTACACTCATTATTAGCAGAACTCTTCACAACAGCCAAGAGGTGGAAACAACCCAAAGTTTCAACAGATGAATGGGTAAGATGGGGCTCGTGCACACAGTGTCCTGTTATTTGAAGAAATGAAACTTCTGATGCATGTGGTCAGCATGGATGAACCCTGACAACACACTAAGTAGGTCACATACGAAAGGTTACATAATTGGCAAATTCATGGAGAAAAGGGGTGGCTGGGAGACGGGAGTCATGGTTCAGAGGGTAGAGTTTAGGATCATGAAAAAGCTCTGGATAGTGCTCGCTTCGGCAGCACATATACTGAAAAAGCTCTAGATATAGATAGTGGTGATGGTTACACACCATTGTGAATATAATTTCCCTGAATTACATACTTAAAACTGGCTAAAATGGCATATTCATTTGTCACAATAAAAACAAGTGAATGAAATGAGAAACCAAAACCAATCCCAGAGAAACAAAGGTCATGCTGTTGAATAATGTCCTTACACACCTGGGTTTTTGCCATTGGCTCTTTAGAAAGGGGTGCGTGCTGAAGCAGGGGGCGCCGGGGATGCCCTACTGCTGCTCAGATGCGTACAGAGCTGTGTGTTCAGGACTCTTAAGGAAGAACATGGGTTAAGTGTCCCACTTTGTGTTCTTTTGCTACTTCTGGGTGTAAGGAGTCAGGGCGATCTGGGTATGGATCAGCTCCCTCTGGTTGCTGACAATGAACATTGTATTTTCCTCCCCCGTAAGGATGGCTGAGAAGTGTAAAGTCCTGACAGTGAGAGGATAGTCCGTGAAATGTTTTTAAATGCCCTGATGCTTGCTCTCGCACCAGCCATAAAGAACCCTAGATCTGGATGTGGGATTCCAGAACACATTACTGGCAGGTATTTAGGTAATTTGCAGACCCCATGCTCTTCTGAGGCATTCCCCAGTATCTACATGTGTTCCATCATTCTGTTAACACAGGACTGTGAACGTCAGCATTGTTTGAACCTTGCATTCTCCTCAATCTTCACGGGAACACGGACTTCAGTACTATTGCTTGCATTTTACAGGTAAGGAAAAGCTAAGTAATTGGAAGAGCCCGACTTCCTTCTCCAGAGCCCAGATTAAGTCACAGGAGAAGGGACCATGGAAAGTACTGGATCTGGGAACTGGCACAGCAGACCGGGAACAGACGGGAAGTGACAAGAGTCAGGATACCAAGTTTGGGGACCCTCCCAGGGTGGATGGCTGCCTCTCTCTGGAAACCGGACTTCTTTTTAACATGATGTGTACTAACATGAGCCACCAGCCTGGTGTAAATGATCACTTTCTGACTGCCCCTTCCTTCAGCATTAGTGGCACCAGTACCAGGGTGTGTAGACCTCACCACAGCTTCACCTCATTGAATAGTTTCCACAAAGACTAATGGTGATATTTTCATCTTTGCCCAGTACCCCTTCTATGTTGTTTTTGGGATTTGATAATGTCTCCCGGTGACTCTGCTAAGGTCTATACCAATGGTTCCTGATGTTGACTGTGCATCAGAATCCCCTGCAGGGCTTCCCAAAGCAGATTTCTGG